CCTTTTCCTCCCTCCCTCTTTTCTTTCCTCCCTTCCTCTCTTTTCCTTTCCCCCCTCTCTTTTCCTCCCTCCGTCCCTTCTTTCTTTCCTTCTTTGCTTCCTTCTTTCCCTCCCTCTCCTTTCATTCTTTCCCTCTCTTCCTTACCCTTCCTTCCCTTCCCCTCTTATCCTCCCTCCCTTCCGCAGAACCAGTTCCAAGGATTACTTTTTGATATTGTAAACAAGCAAGCATTTGAACTGTTCATTATCAGCCTGATTTTCTTGAATGTGGTGGTCATGGCCGTGGAATACGAAGGTCAAGATGTGGCTGCTGACCAACTTCTTGAGAAGATCAACTGTGTCTTTGTGGCCCTCTTCACTGGCGAGTGTGTGATGAAACTGTTGGCTTTGAGGCTTTATTTCTTCAAAGACTCCTGGAACATATTTGATTTGGTGGTTGTCATTCTTTCAATCATTAGTAAGTAGACCTTTTGTTTTTTGCTTTACAAGGTTCATTGCTTGCCAGTGCTAATAAGCTACAAGGCAGGTAATATTTGACATGGCACGGTTATTTACAGTCATAAACTTTCACTTCACATGTACATGAGTCCTCAACTTATGACCACAATTGAGTCCAAATTCATTTTGTTAAGTGGGGCAGTTGTTAAGTGAGTTTTGTCCCACTCTACAACCTTTTTGCTATGGTTATGAAGTGAGCTTTTGCAGTGGTCAAGTTAGTAACACAGTTGTGAAGTGAATCTGGCCTCTCCATTGACTTTGCTTGTCAGAAGGTCACAAAAGGGGATGACGTGACCCAGGGGCATTGTAACCGTCATAAATACGAGTCGGTTGCCAGGCCTCGGATTTTGATCCTGTGACCATGGGGATGCAGCCATGCTCGTACATACGACAAACGGCCGTAAGTTATTCTTTTTCAGTGCTGTTGTAACTTCATCTACCTGTATAATACAGACTCAAGGAATGCATGCTTGCAAGAATTGGTTGTGTTGCATGGAAGAGAAATAATTCAGTATTTGGAAAAAGCAAATTGTCATAGCAGCAAACCTCAAGCAATGGACGGGTCCTCTTTGTCTGTGCATGGGTGTGGAACACATTTTAGGAAAATAATCCTCCAAGTTGCTCTGTTGGGCCAGATCCCAACCATTACCCATCATTAAAAAAATAATCAATTAATTAAATGCATATGCTGCCTCGTCTCACTATCCACCTTGAATGAATCTGGCTTGCAGTGCAATAAAAATCATAAATATAACAGCACTGAAAGTAATAACAAAAATCAGATAAAAACTACAATGAGCACGAACTGCACAGGGATACAGTCTATTACTTCTTTAGTGATTCCCATCAAGGTCCCCAAGACAACCAGCCGAACTAAATCTTCAGGTGCTTCTGGAAGGCTGAGGAGATGGGTAGGCTTTGACTTATGACCACAAGTGATTCCCCAAATTTTCTTTGCTACGCAAGATAGCCGTTAATTGAATTTTGCCCTATTTAACAAATCTTCCGTGCTGTAATCGTTAGCTGAATCACTGTAGCTGTTAACTTAGTAGCCATGGTTGTAAAATGATTCTGCCTTCCCCATTGTCTTTGCTTGTTAGAAGGGACCCTGGGACACTGAAAACGTCAAAAATACATGCCAAATATCCGGATTTTGATCATGTGACTGTGGGCAACTGAAACAGTCATAAGTGTGAAAAAAACAGTCATAAGACACTTATTTCAGCGCAGTCCTAACTTTGAATAGTTCCTAAACAAATGGTTGTAATTCGAGGTTTAGTGCAGGTAATCCTCGACTTACGACCACAATTGAGGCCAAAATTCCTGTTGTTAAATGAACATTGGTTAAGTGAGTTTTGCCCCACTTTATGACCTTTCCACAGTTGTTAAGTGAATCACTGCAGTTGATAAGTTAGTAACCTGGGTTATTAAGTGAATCTGGCTTCCCCATTGACTTTGCTTGCCAGAAGGTCGCAAAAGGGGATCACATGACCCTGGGAACACTGCGATGATCCCAACTATGAACCGGTCGCCAAACATTTGAATTTTGATCATGTGACCATAGGGATGGTGCAAAGGTCATAACTGGGGGAAAAACAGTCATAAATCACATTTTTCAGTGCCATTGTAACTTTGAACGGTCGCTAAACAAACTGTTGTAAGCTGAGGACTACCTGCACGAAATAATAGAGTTTTAAGTTAAATTGAAAGACTCATTGCAGGCCTGCTTTTTTTTCCTCCCCCGCTCTTCAGGCCTTGCAGCAACCCAACTTTGGCGACGCCTCAATTTCCCGCCAACCATCCTGCGTGTCATTCGAGTGATCCGTATCAGCCGCCTCCTGAGGCTGATCCGAGGCGCGAGAGGGCTGCGCACCCTGCTTTTCGCCCTGCTGATGTCCCTCCCCGCTCTCACCAACATCGGGCTCCTCCTCTTCCTGATCATGTTCATTTACGCTATATTTGGCATGGCTAATTTCTCCTGCGCGAGTTGGGTGCAAGGGATTGACGACATTTTCAACTTCCAGACCTTTGGCAACAGCATGCTTTGCCTCTTCCAGATAACCACGTCCGCTGGCTGGGATGAGCTTCTGGGACCGATGCTCCTCCCCCAGGACATCTATAAGTGCGCTCCAAACATCAAATCCGCCCCACAAAAGAGCCCCTGTGTCAACAGCAAGGTGGCCATTGCCTATTTTGTCAGCTACGTCATTATTTCGTTCCTGATTGTAGTCAACATGTACATTGCTGTCATCATCGAGAATCTGAACGTTGCCACCGAAGAGAGCACAGAGCCACTGGGCGATGATGACTTTGAAATCTTTTATGAGATCTGGGCAAAATTTGACCCCAAAGCAACCCAGTTTATCTCTTACTCAGCACTCTCCAACTTTGCAGATGCCCTGGCAGAACCTTTGCGGATACCAAAACCGAATAGTCAGCAGTTGTTGTCCATGGACCTTCCGATAGTCAATGGGAATAAAATCCACTGCCTGGATATTTTGTTTGCTTTTACCAAAAGGGTGCTGGGAGAATCTGGAGAAATGGACTCGTTTGAGTCCCAAATAGAAGAAAAATATCCAGAGAAGATTGCCTATGAGCCGATCGTGACAACTCCCAAGAGAAAGCAGGATGAGTCTGCCGTCATAATTCAAAGAGCTTATCGGATGCATCTTTTCCAGCGTGCAGGAAGGGTAGCACCTCAGGAACCCTTTGTAACCATCTCCTTGGAGAATATTCCAGAAGAGGAAAACTTATCTGTGTTCAGTCTGAGTGAAAATGAAGGCAGCCAGTCCAATAATTCTCAGAGTTCGTCTTCGGTGGCCATTCCTCCATCCTACAGTAACATGATGAGCATTGCTCCTGTCCTTCAACAGGAGGAGTCCTCAGACCATAAGGGTGATACAAAGTGATATTCCTCTCCCTGATTTTTTCTCTCGTCACAGCAGGGTTTTCCTGGAAACAGATGAAAATAATAATAATAATAATAATAATAATAATAATAATAATAATAATAATAATAATAATAATA